GGACTGTAGTCGAACTGTACTTCCTTACAGCATTTTTAACAGTGGGCGCCCGTCAACTTGGAGGAGGCTTTCGCGACGTCGGCGGCGTCCCATCTGCTGCTTCTGCGAGGCGACATGGGAGCCGTCTCTCAATCACAACCACAAACACGCACACACGAGTGAGATACAGAGACAGAAAGAGGGGGAGGGGGAGAGAGAGGGAGGGGATGAGAGAGGGAGGGGAAGAGAGAGGGAGGGGGCGGGGAGATTTCGCAGGACTGCTTTGTACTGGGTGGCCTGCCGCCCGGGTGGGGCGACGTGGGACGTGCGGGCCGTACCTATGGCCGGCGCAAAGGCTTAAGTTTCGAAGAAAGGAAGGGTCACCTTTGCGATCTTCTGCGTCTCCCCCCCCCCCCGCATCTTTTTTTTGTCCAGCCCGGTGGTGAGACGTGGAAGAGTTGTGCAGGAAAAGGGAAGAGTGGAACTAACTTCGTGTAGATTCGCTGTGAATCGCCACCCCCTCACAGAGTTATCCTCGTCGTGGAGGAGTTTTCATTATATTTTGTTTACACACTAGATGTGGCTTCTACCTCAGTCAGTCCGCGCGGAAGGTAAACCACCGAGTTAGATGAACACCTGCATAAAGTGCACAAACTTGAAGTTGCCCACAATGCACACTCGCAAGAGTTTCCCCGGCTGCGCACTCGTTGGCTGAGCGATTAGCGAAGCCCATAACTCCACTGACCGGAAAAGTTTCATTCTGTTTGTCTGTTTGTTTGTCTGTTTGTTTGTCTGTTTGTTTGTCTGTCTGTCTGTCCGCACGATAACTCGAGAAAAAATTGAGATAGCGACCTGGGATTTTCAGGGTCGTTTTGTATCATAAAAAGACAGATCGAGTTCGAAGATGAGCATTCTAGCTCAAAAATTAGCTTTTTGAAAAATCAAAAACTACAGGTCGCAATACGTATTTTTTTCAAATATTTTTTAATGGGTTCCTAAGGGGTAACTCATCAAAGTAGAGCCCTATGATCGGAAACTTCGTCCGTCTGGCTTTATCTTGTACCGTTTAGGTGCTAGGGGGCATTTCGTGGCAAAAATGAGGTGAAAATGATCAAATGGTCGATTAAATCGTTAAAAAGACTTCATTTCGAAAAACTGTGTATCCACTCCTATTACCTCGTCTTGGGTGTCAGCGCCGCAGGCCTAGCTATATGTGCGCCAGGCGCGTCGCAGCGTAACAGTGTTTCGTGAGATATCGCGAAGCCTGTTACGCGAGACGTGGTCTGGCGTACATCTAGCTAGTTTTATCAGTGTAGGGACGTGAGCGACTGCAGACCATACACGAGGAGGGTCCCAACACGGCGGCGCCAAAAGACAGGATGCTGGGCGGCACCGATGGCACTGTAGTTTTAACTGTGATACACTACGACACTTGAGTTTCCAGAGGGGACATTTAAATTTATAGCCCTGGGAAACCATAACGGTCGGGCGGGGCGGGCAATGGGACGGACTTGGTCCGCGGGAGGGTCGAGGAAGGTCATGGGACGGAGACGGCGTTTGTACGGAGTCATGAGGAGGGGACAGGCCCGGCTAAGGCCCGGCCGGCGAGGGCCTGGAGTCCCGTTACGTTACGTCCAAATCCGTCCGCGGGGCTGGACGGGGCAGGACGGGACGGGGCCATCCGTCTCATCCTATCCGCCACGCCAGGCCACGCCGCGCCGGGCCGCGTGGGGACGGAACGAATATCCAGGCCGCGGGCCCCGCGAGCTGCTGAAGGTGTGACAAGACGGTTTAGCCGGGCGGGATGTGCTCCGGCGTGGACGGAGATGGACTGCCGCCGCCCGCGGGGGCACCGCGAGGATAAGTGAACGGGGCAGGAAAGGAGAGCGGGGGAGGGGGGCGGGGGGACATGACATTAGGGCCAGTTCAGACTCCGACGTGGCCAATGCACTTGAACGGCTTTTGCAGTAACAGTGGACGTGCCCGGCATATTCGTGTGGCTCCAGAGTGACCCGACCGAGCGGCCACCACGCCCCGCCACGCCCCGCCACGCCCCGCCACGCCCCGCCACGCCCCGCCACGCCCCTCCACGCCCCGCCACGCCATGTCGTAACGCGCGCCGAGGGGCATTGCCATCGGAGTGCGGCGTGGGGCAGCGTGGCGCGGCGTTACCCAATGTCAGGGTCGAGAGCGGAGCGGCGAGTCGTGTCTCCCCCTCTCCCGTTCTCCCCCTTTCTCCCTCTTGCTCTGTGCCTTCTTTCCTTCTTTGTTTATCTCCCCACTTACTCATCTCCGCCTCTCTCACCCCCCTTCCCCTTCCCCTTCTCTCTCTCTCTCTCTCTCTCTCTCTCTCTCTCTCTCCCCCTCCCTCTCCCTCTCTCCCCCCCTCTCTTTCTCTCTCACTCTTTCTCTTACACACACTCTCGCACACACCTGTACTCTCTTTCTCACTCGCTTCCCTCTCCCCACCAGCTGCTCCTATCTCTCTCCTTCCCAACTCTTCTTTGCTGGTGCATTTTGCCCATTTCGCCTCGAGACCGCCGGCGGTGGCGGGCGGCTTCACGTGATATAGAGAGGGACAGAAGAGGGAGAAGGAGTGTAAAATTTTGAGAGATTTTTTTGTTGGGGGATTTGGAATTACAATTCGGACCAGGAGAAAGCGGGAGAAAGGCGCTGAAAGTTTTTCTCATCGAGATCTTGCCATGTTGTGATTTGTCTTATTATTAATATTAAAATAGAATAAAGGTGTCAGCTAACTTTAACTCTCGACAAGAACAGAGAACCAAGCGCTAGACTTTCAAACTGATACCAATGGGCTAGGCTGGGCGGAACAAGAGACCCAACAAATTAAGATACAATGAGATTGTACTGCTCATAGCTGGTCTC